CTGGTTCACCTGCTACCAAAGAGTTGTGGATCAAGTGGGGTGGGAAAGGAAGAATTTTTATTTAATTAGCATTTGGAAAGAAAGTAACAGTTCATTTTAGGGCCTAAACTTAGTAACAGAACAGAGCTGTTCGTGTTTGTCCAGATATGAGGGTCAAAAGAGGGAAAATTCTGGAAAACTTGCCAGTTGGAACTGGATTTGACAGAGGGTTGCAGGGCCAGGATTTTGTTCAGCTAATCCAAGTTAATGCGTGGCTCATTGACAGGCCTATTATTTCTGAAATCTGAAAGACCTAAAAATGAAATAACTGATAATGGAACATCTTAATCTTTAAGTTTTTAAGTGCAAAAACGTGTAGAGGGGATTTTCTTACGCATTCAACATCTTAAGTCCATTTTAAATGAAGTTACTAGTTAAATAAAACGACTTCATCCTTTAATTGTGCTTCAGCAGCATTAAAAATTGAGTCTTTAATAGAAAGAACCATTAGAAACTTAAGGTTTTATAATAAAAATGTTAGAAAACTTATATATGCTTACATAAACTGCTTACTAACATTGTAATGTATTCAGTAGCAATAAAGGCATAGTGAGATTGGTGGTTATTTTGTGTCTTTATGAAACCGCAAAGTATAAACACAAAACAAGATTAATTTCAGACATAGTTTATTGGGTGCTGATACAAATCATGACTAAAATAGGATTTCCTGTTGCTTTGGTTTAGTTTGCCTGGAAGGAAAACTGTGCTGTGGCAAGTAGGTATTTGTGGTGGGAATGCTTGATACCTGTGCTAGAATTCACAAGCGATAATTGTAAAAAGTTCTGCAATTTGCAGTATTAAGAATTCAAAGGAAAAAAACACAAACAAACAAACAAAAAAAAACAACCCACCAAAACTAAAGATATCTTCATTCACTCTCTGAATGCTGGGAGATGGAGTGATGGGAAATATTTTTGCTCCCTTGTACCTTAATCCCTCAGGAGTCTTGGAGCAATTAAAGAAGGCAGGTTTCCTTTCCCCCAAGTTTTGGTTTCCTTTTACCAAATTTTCTGTTTAGGCCCCTTAATTCTGTACTCTTGCTTTATGGAGCTAATGAAGCAGGGTCAAATAACAGTGTGAAATGGGAAGGAGAAACTGAGATGCTGCAGGAGGTTTCTTGAATTTGAGAATTTTTTAGTAGTTGGAAGATTGAGGTTTTCATTTTGCAGAAGGTAGGAGAGCAACCTGAGGATTTCTGCAATGCCAAGAGCTACCTGGAGGTGGGATACCTAGCATACTGAGGTGACATTATTTTATGACTAGATTGGATATGATTTTTCATCTTTCCCTTGTTAGGAAGAGCTGTGGTAAATTGGTGGTCACATGAACCATGAACATGAACCATTATTACGCATGCTTCCCAAGAAATGTGCTGATATAAACACAGGGATGCATACAGAATTAGGGGACGAAAGTTCTTCAGAAGACTCAGATGCCCTTAATTCTGCTTTTGTTGTTGTGCTCAAGAGGTTTGTTATTCATCCTTAATATCCACTTAACCAGTTAACTGCATGTACAATTTTAGCTTGTAAAGTGGCACTTTTTTTATACTTTTTTTCATATTTGGTACCTGCAAATAGGAGAATTTCCAAAATTCCTTTAAAATATCAAAACCAGAGTTTGCTCAAGGAGTGAATTGCTAAAGGAACGCAAATCTTCTCATGAGATGATTGGTTGGTTGTCATGCACTGTGATGTTGATTGTTGATGCTTGGAAGATAGTCTGTGATATAAATACTTTGTATGACTTGTTAAGTTCGGAAATGGGGTGATATGAAAAGAGGATGCTAGGAAAGATTAATGGGACAACAGGGTGGTAAATACAGTGTTGGAGAGGTCTTGCTGAATAAAGTCAGTGTAACAGTATAGATGTTCAAAATCCTACAGGCAAAGAAAGTTTAATGATAAGTTGTATTTCTAAATAAATTTTAGTGGTGGATTTTAATTTTTAATTTTCAGTTTCTTAAAGTATAATATGCATTTAGGTTTTTTAAAGTAATCGCATAGTCATAAAAAATAATACATAAATAACTCCATTGTGCCACCAAACAACAAAGGGAAAAAATTGACACAAAGTAAATCTCAGTGCAGCCAAAAAATGTTTTTGTGGCTTTTTAGTGCTTGTCTCCTAGGGAATTTGACAGTGTAGCTATTGTGTAATAACTGTTTAGTGTGTAGTGCAGCTCCCTGAGGCTGGCATTATATTCCTGAACAGGAGCATCATCTTTCTGAAAGTGTAATATTCTAAATAATGGCTGTACTTTGTGAGTACATGAGATAGAGGAAATGGAAGCCACCTTACTGCTGAATGAGGAGTATATTCTCATTGAGCACAGTTTTAATAAACTTGTGTGCATCAACTTCATACTGATTTGTTTGTCTTAATTTTACTGAATGTCTCTTTGTAGATAGGTTGATGGAGATAAATAAACATTCTACCTTTGCAGCAAAGGTAGGATGAATCCCTGATGGCATGTTGTCATATATTGTCTACATATTGCTTTGTTATTTGAATCTATAAAAATATGTGTCTTGATCTTAATGTTTGCTTATATTTATCATATGTATATGCACAGGTCTTTGTTTCTTACTAGCTGACATGCAAAATGAGAGAACAAAAAGAGGGTTCTTCAGTGCTTGAATGAGCAAGGTCATATTTTACTTCATAGTAAAAACTTTAATGGTGACACTTCTTTTAAGTGACAAAGCAAATTGCTTTTGTTTTTTGTTTCATAGTTAAATATCTTTTTTTATTGTAATAACATGACTTTAAATCTTGTTTGCAAGAAGAATAAAAGGAAGAACCAACTTGGAAATAGCAGTTCCAAGCTTAGGCTTGATAGTGAATTGATGTTGTCTCCATCCTTTATATAGCAGGTGTCTGTTCCCTGTCTTGCCCCACTGAGACTTGTAAGCTCAGATCTATTTGTTTTCTTGTGACATGTTTTAGAGTAGATTCTTGTCTTAATTGCTGCCAGATATCTCTTGGAAGAAGGCAATAGGACTGCAATGTCCAATGGCTCCTTCTCAGCCAAACCTTTTACTCTGCAGCATCTTTCACTTGTGCTTGCATTTCTTCAGTACCTCTTTAATTCTGACTTCTCATGCACTACCCAGAAACTTGCCTATTTCCAGAGTGTCAGCTGAAGGCTTTCTTCATGGCCTACTTTTCATACATTTAATGTATGAAGAGCTACTTCTTCATACATTAAATATTTCAGACTGACCAGATCTGGCAGCAGTGGCACTGCCAGTTTTTTGCTGCCGTTGTTTCTGAATGGAGGGAACAGGTTTTTCAGATTTGCTGTGGTGAAGGAGTCGTTCCCTATGTCTCAGCAGGCAGGGAAGAGATAACCAAAATTTACCTGGCAGTGACCTACATTCAGAAGATGCTGTGAATAATGAGAATTTATCTATTTGAAAATAGCCCAATAAGTTGGGCTGTGTGAAAATGATTATCAAAAATGATTATCAAAATTGCAGAAGATAAATGGCTTGTGAAGAAGGGAGGAAGAAGGTACACTGCTTCAGAACAGAATTAAGAAGCTGCAGAAATGAGAAAAGCCCATTCTTTGGGGACGTAGGTCTTTAACAGTTTAAGAGAATGGTAAGAACTTTTAAGATGTCGTCTGCTCCTTGAATCTTCAAGACCGTGGCTGTCAGTTTGAACTGAAATTTCTAGCTCAATATTTAATCTCTAACCAATGCTTGAAGCTTGTAACTCATCAGAGTATCTTCCCTATTCTTTTAGAGCTAGGTTTCATGAACCAGAGATGGCATATATGCTGAGTGGCCCTTAGCGTTTTGCTTTTCTGTGAACTTGTCTGAAAAACATTACTTCCATACTACACATGGATAAATTTTGGTTCTCAAATCCATTTTTCAAAAATGTTGGGGTTCCTTTCATTGCAGTTGACAGAACTGGAAGTGCAGGAACTTCATCTGTGTGAGAAAAAGCGATAATCTGTTTCAAGATCTCAGCTGTGTGTTTGTCCACCATATAATTTCAGTGGCCTTTTTGCAGCGTTGGTGTCTGGAACTTCCCTTTACATAGCTTTGCTGGCTTTTTTCTAATACTTTCCAGCAATTGCGTTTTTTTTAAATGAATTTTCACAGTGTCTGCTACTTCGCTTTTGCAATCATTACTGCTTTTTAAAAGTTGTATATTTTACAAATATATCAAGCAGGTGCTATTAAATGTGATTAAAATAATTATAAAGTTAAAAAAAAAAATTACCAGTTTTAAAAACTGCTGAATAATCCTGTTGCAGAACCTGTCTTCACAGCACATGCGACCCTAACAGTGGCTCATGCCCTTCCTATAGTCTGTTAGTTTTATATCAAGTAGTTGATTACTTGGTCATAGCCCTTGTTAGAAAACATTCTATGGTAAAATCAAAGCATGATTAGGAAGGAGATTTAAATAAATAGATAAAAAAAAGACTTTCACCTTTCTTGGTTTCATGCTCAATTTTTACAACACTGAGGAGTTACAGCTATTTGCATTTCATAGTTTTATTTTTGGGATGTGTCTTGTCTAGTCTAAGCAGACAGACACTGAGCCAGAGACTAAAATACAAAGGTTGAACTACAAGCAAGTTAGCAGTCCTAATGCAGCCTTCTGCTAGAGGTGTCAGCAAAGACAAAGGTAAATATGGCAAATGAATGAAATAAGATGGGGGAATGCGCGAGTAATAGCACGAGTAGGTGTGATTAGAGATTATTAAAATTAAACACCCCTCCCCCCAAAAAAAAACCCAAAATCACACACTCACACACAAAAACACCAAAAAACCAACCAAACAAAAATTGGATTTGCAAAACATGTAAGCAAGCAAACAAAAAAGGCTTGTCAGTTTCAACTTGGGGGTAATAAACCGTAATGTTTTCTTTGGTCATACTCAGTCTCAGAAAGTAGGTGCTATGTTGTTGTCTCCTGAACATTTCTCTGTTGATTTTTAGGTTTCTGTTGTCTACTTTGTACATCAGTGGGATCACTCTACTGGAACAAGATAATGTCATCTTCAACCCACTGAGGGAAAGGGGTGAGTTTTCTCACATCCGATATTTTATCTCCTTTAAAAAAGCAGTGTGCCCTGGAAGCAAATATCATTATGTTTTTTGCTGAAAAGTGAAGACTGTTCTAGATACTTTTAATGTGTCAAGCAGGCTTGCTGTTTTGATTTTTTTTTTATTTTTAACTTTGTATGTGAATATAGGGGTGCATGTTATAGAGCAATGAATGAACAAATAGCTGAATCTGCCAGTCGTTCATTTCTTTGTGAAGGACTTCAAAGGAACATGTATAGGGGAAAATTAGAAGGAAGGATTACTTGTTAACAAGTCTGGTAGGTAGTTTCTTCACCACCCTAAGACAGTTAGTGGTTAGTTTATACCCTGAGGCATAACTATTTATATCTCTTACAAACATCTGTTGTAGCTTGTATATGTTAAAAATGATATTACTGAAATCCAACAGCTTGGGTTTACCTTATGTTAAAGTTACTGGGTGGTCCCTTTGCTCTTAATTATGAAGGAGTAAGTAGAGCAAGTGAGGAGTGATGTATGTTAAAGTTATCACTTTGTGTACATGTTTCATCTCACCTTTAATCTCTTCTCTTTGATATTCCTTAACTTGCAACAGTCTCCACATTTCTAATTATGATTATTCCTCTTAATTTAGTTTCCTTTCTACTCTGCGTTTTACCTTCATACTTATTTTTATTAAAGGCTTTTTATTTTTTTTTTCATTTCACTTTGTTTTCCAGAACACAATGCTTTTATGAATTCCCTTTTGCCAGAGATCTCAGTGGAGTTTCTGATTGCAGTTTGTGCATCAGCTTCCAGTTTACATGACCTTAAACATTTCCTTGGGTTTTCCTCACACTTTGTTTTCAAGATAAATAGAATCAGAGTTAATTCTGTTCTGCATGAAGCAGGCTGGCTCACTTTCTCACCCTTGGGTTATTTTTGTTATTTGTAACTCTTTGACTGTAACACAGATGCACCGTTCTACTCTCATTTACTCTTGATTTCTTTAACAAAAAATAATTGACATTTTTAAAGCTAAGTTGTTCAGAAGTCATGTGCTCTTAGGCTCACTTCAGATACCGTAGGCTATATAGTATTGGGTATAGCTGTGCTGGTTAAAGATGGTCCTGCTGTGAGTTGATAATCGCCACACATGAGCAGAAATTACCACACTAATAGGTCAGCCAAGAGCAGGGGTTGTATGAGTCCACAGCAGTGTGCTTCAGACAAAGTCAGCTGGTTTACATCACAGCCACCTTTAACAGCGGGTTGAACTAGCCTAGCTGACTTTGTGTAAAACGGATCAGAAATGATTCACATGTTCTGTGTGCACAGTGGTAGAGCTGTGGAAGTAATTAGCTCTGCCAGGGTGGCACTGATAAACATCTGGGTGCGATACCAGCTTCATCTAGCATCATTGCTTGCAGAATGAACATCTGCTTAGGCTGTGTATCTGTTAACTAGAACTGGGTGCTGTAGCCTAAATTAGGTTATAAAAGCCAAATGTGTAAATACCTTTTCAGTTACTTTTCTTACAGTTTGATGTAGTTTGTTTCTTACCAGTACTGGGTAATGAGGAGATGTTTCTCTTTACTGAACCAAAGTAATTCCTCAGTTAATTGCCTCAATTTAAGTATGTGATTAGCTTAATTTGTTCTTCTTGATTTGCAGTAGTTGTCTTCACTAAATCTCATCAGTTGTTATCTTGCCTAATAGCTTAATCTTCTACTGTAATTATAAGTCAGAGGTTAAGCTTTTACAGGAAATGAAGGATATACCCATGTAGAATTCTTTTCAGCTGTTCTCCTGGATGACAACAGGACAAAAGTCCTTCTTGATGAAATAATCTATGGATCTAGCTTTTTCATTCTTTGTGTGGCCTGAGGGACATCCAGATGTGGAATATCTTTTCCTTATGGAAATCTGGAAGGAAGGGTTGATCCAGTTTGTCAGATTCTCCAGCAATTCTTGCAATGTCCTACTGTCTTCACCAGTTTGCATTTGTTATCTTTGTTGCTTCCCTCTTTGTTGCTTTGTGTGTCACTAATCTGATTTCACATCCTTGCTAACTCTTAAGACATTTTTTCTCTTCCAGGACTGTTTTACCTCTTATTTCCCCACCTGTGACTAAGAACTTCATCTTTCTCCCACAGCCAAAAAGTTTCTTTAGCCACATTTTGTAAGGAACTTCTTCAGCTTCTAAAAGAATTATTTTGCTGATCCGTTCTACTTTTAATTTGAGAGTAGTCTGGTCTGCTCTTTGGATATCACAGTCAGAAATTAAATGTGTGCCTTTTGAGAAGGAAGACAAGCAGCATTTTGTATGTGTCCATTCATTCTGTTTGTATAGAAAGACACTAATGCCCCAGTTGCAAGTTAGCATTTTTTTAAAGAAAATAAACGTTTAAATGTAAAACAAATGCTTACAGGACTGATGTTTCAGAATGTACCCCTCTTAAAGTATTTTGAGAGATAAATCAGCATTTACCACAGGAAAATGAGGTAACTTTAACATTAATGATTTATAACTATATATAAAAAAATCTGAAGTACTTCTGTCAGTGAGTGGATGTATGTTGTTCCTTTTCTGTGAAGAAATCATGATTTTGGAGTTTCAAAGAAAGAACTACGACAAATTAGAACCAGAAAATACTTTCATTAAAGCTATTAGGAGAACTCTGAACACAGTCTTTACTCTTTTACTCTGTAAATCATATTCCTAAGAAAAATATACTTTAGCATAGGAGTCCTCAAACTGTAGCGTACCTTTTAGGTAGTATTCCACAAGCTACTTCAGATGGTATGTGCATGTTGTCTACAGATAGCATCTTGTTCAGCTCTGCAAGCACATGACCCAGTACCAGAACCAAGATCTGTTGTCTGCTCATATTTGTGGTTCTGAAGATGCCTTTGCATGTGTAAAAGGGCAGTCTCCCCAAGAGTGTCAGCTCAGTTTAAGCATGAGTGAGTGAAAGTCAATAACCTAATTTTTAGAGGAGGTCATGTTTACGTCATCCTTGTGGATTTCTCTGGTCTTCAAAGCTAATTAAAAAATTAAAAATCTATGAATGAACAAATAGATAACCATTAGGAATTGAACTGTGGCTAGAACTTGATGCGCAGTAAGGCTTGAGGCTTGTCCCAAGAAGTTAGGTTTGTCTCTGTGCTTGAAACCATTAAACAAAGAAGAGGATCCTGAAATTTCTTCTGTCTCCTAAATGAAACATGTACTTGAGACTGTTATCTGTGCAGGGAAATACCCAGAAATGTAAACATTGCTATTCAAAATGGTCACATACTTTAGTAGTATGCAGTAGTGAATGAGAGTTTTAAAAATAGGTTTAAAAAAATGTAATGTTTGAACACATTACAAAGAAAAAAGGTTTTCTTTCAGATCTGAAACTGCTGAGAACACTGTAACTTAGTTCTTCGATACTGATATAAGTGGAGAGAGCAGAAAACCTGGAATTAATACCAGGATATAGTATTTTTCAAAATATGAGCTATGTTTTCTTTTTTTAATATGAGTATTTTTTATAGTGGCTAAACATTAGGACTCCTACATGTCAAGGTAAATTGACTTCTGTGGTAATACTTAATGGTAATAGCCTAATGAATGATGTGATTTCAGTTGCTAATCTGACAAGAAAATGAAATGTAAATTAGTAATATAATGAATAAACTCTATCAATGTGCTATGCTAATTTTTATTTTTTTTATTACTTAATGTCTAACTTGGAAAAGTGTTTAACTCATTTGAGCACCAAACTCTAGCTAATGCTTAGAGTTTCTCACTTGTGCTATAAATCCTATTAAAAATAATATTTCCCGAAGTATCAAATGTCTATGAAAATGAGACTTCTGAATTCCTAGGTCACTTTTGAAACTATACAATCACATAGGCCCAAGTGTTTAAAAGTTGTTAGATACTAGTCTATTCTTTGTTGAGCCTTAAATCGCTGGTGTCAGAAGCAATTTGAGACTTTGGTTTTCTAAAAGTAATTTCAGGCCTTAATCTTAGAATAGGATTCCTATAAGTAAATAGGGTATTCCTAAATACTTTTTGCATTTGGTTCATGGTTTGAGGTCTATTATTATTTCAGTTACAGTAATGGCTCAATGTCTTGTTAGCCTTCTCAAAACACAGAAATGTAAATCTTTGCTCTGTCCTAGATTTTTATGTATTACTTTAGAATAACTTAGATAAGTAGCACAAAAATATATGCTAAAGTTTATTTGAAGTTTGTAAAAGAACCACAGCCACTTATTAAAAATCTTATGTTAAAATATAAAATTATACAAGGATCTTTTTGCTGATGAAATGTTGAAGCATTTGACCAACTTGATCATTGTCCTCCCTCCCCGACACTGAAAAATACACACCTAATTATCATTGCCAGGGTCGCAGATTTTTGGGGGGGAAGTGTGCATAAACCTTTATATTTTCATCTTTTATAACTGGATTCTAAGTTGTCATTTTTGTAACTGACTTTTTTTTTTTTTGAAGAATATTTGTTCATACTTATGATGATTTGACATAATTAACGTATTATTAACCATGATGGCAACACAGACATTAAGTATAGACAACTATCAAGATGGACAACAGGTAGGTGTGATTTTCTTTCTCTATGAACTAAATACAGTTAGCAAGAAAAAATAAGGTAGTGACTTTTTCCTTAGTGCCTGCTTTGGCATTCTTTTAAGCATCTCTTCTTGTTTGCATAACAAGATCTTGAAAGTGATAAGCAGTTATTTAGTACCTCTTAACAGCTTTGCTAATCTTTGCATGACTTTGATTAACTTGTGAAAGAATGGTTAGATAAGAGGTTTTCTTCTGAATCTGCTCTAGGTCACTTGTGTGATGTAATGCTCCTATTTTTAGAAAAGTCAAACGGGCATCCGTAATACTTTGTAGATGATATTTCAGTGTTATTATGTGTCTGCAGTTACAATAGATGGATGACACTGATGCAGTCATAGACTTTTTGGCCTTGATCAAGTGAAGGATAAATTTAGTTACCTAGAATTATATACTACTTAGACTACACTGAAGTTGATGTAGTTATGCTTCAGGCTGAAAACTGGAAAAATACTTAATTTAATATTAATTAAGCCATTGATAAAATAGCTAATTAGGAAGCTGGTCAGTGGGCTTCCAGTTTCTTACTTACAGTAACAGCTAGAATAGTGAAACATACTCCCATATGTTGTGGCTGTGTTGTTTCTTGATTGTACAACAGGCTATATATTGCAACTGTTTGAATTGCTACATTAAAATACTGTTAACTGGAGACAAGTAATGCAGTGGCCGGTACTCTGAAGACCCTTTTTTACGTTACTGTATGTCAGCCCTAAGCAGTAAATACAAGTACTTCTGTGAGCAGGTGGAAATAGTGGTGAACAGTCAGAATTAAAAAAAAAAAGGGCAACTTTTCCCATGTCTTATAAAAATGTGTTTACCTGAATGCAATCTGGGATTCTTGATTTTTGTTGTTGTGTGCTGCTTTTATTGCAGTTCGCATTTCTGTTCTCTCACCTACTTTACATCTTTTATTTTATTTCCCCTTGCCATCCTGTGACAACACATCAGTGAAAGTAATGCATCTTTTTGTAAGGAATGGATTAGTAGAGAGAATTTTATTTCTATTTGTTTTGTATTTTAAGTTCTGGGTGAGCTGGGGATGGTAATTTGGGTGCCTGCTGCTTTTGTATTTTGGAAATGGCCCATAGAAAATAGCTTGAAGTTTTAAGTGAGCTATTTCCCGTAGTGAGATGGAGCCCTAGCTGAACATGCCCTCTTCCTTCAAACTCTGTAGATGTATGGCTCAACATTTACAATCACTTGTATGAGTCATCCTCTTTATTTTGCTCCTCCTTTGTGTCATTAGCCAAGAAATTGTTCCATTATTTGCATCTTTTTTGCAAGCATTCTGGTTTAAAAATTATCTATGATTGATGAAGAACAGCTTTGCAAGGCAGGCTGCTCTGTTGGGTAGGATATGCTGGCATTTTCTCACTTTCTGATAGTGCTAGGAGATGGCTTGACATCCTCAATGGCTTGACATCCCCAATTCTGTCAGAGTCAGATCCTCTAGTAGTTTCTGGAGGCCAGCCCTCCTCTTGGAGAGTTTCTGTGGGTGATATGATGTGTACATTTCATGGGAAAAGAAGGCAGAGAATTGCATTCTGTACATTCCCTTTCTGCAGGTGTCAGTGCTGTCTCTCTCATGGTATCTGTACACTGTCTGTCCTCTACTTGAGACATAACATGCTAGGATTAAAGTAATAAAAAAGAAGATTGCAGGAAGTTCTTTGTACAGATGTTCCCAGTGCTCCAATAGGAGCCTGGGTTGGGGGCAGAAACAATGGTTTTCACAGGTCAGGTTACTTTAAGACCTTTTAGTCCAAAAGATAATTAAGGCGATTTAAAAACTACGCATTTAAATCATCTCAAAGGCATTACCAGCCATTTATTGCAATTTTGGAGCTACTCTGTAGAAGTTGTGGCTCTATGTTGTTTTTCCAGTGGTGGGAGATTGTGTAACTTATTAAATGGATTTATGGAAGTAGTTACTGCTGTCTTCTCCAGTAGCTTGATATTCCTAAAATAATTGGTAATTACAATATGTAAATGTGAGTGGTAAAGGTCAGGGAGGTTATGCTTCTGAAGATTGGAGAGACACAGAATACAGAGACTATTTCAGTTCTTTGTAAGAAAATACACATTTTAATGGACAAGAGACACATCAAAATCTCTTTTCTTCAGTATCCTGATACAATGTACAGTAAGAAATAAGGAAAGCCAGAGTAGAAACTTACCATTCTGTTGCTTGCATCCAAAAGGATTTTTATGCAGACATCCCATCATTTTTTTGGAGCAATGTACTGTATGTAACCTGTATTCCAAAGGTAGACACTTTGGAGACAACATGCTTTAACAGTTTATTGCTATCTGTCATTTCCATTTTAAAGCTGAGTGCTGTCATTCCCATTTTAAAGCTGAGTGCTGAAACTTGAAGTGACCTTTAAACTACCCATCAAAAAGTGTCAAGGATTAAAAGAGGGGTTTTGTTACTTCTGCAGCTTTTCGTGCAGCTGCCAAGTCATACCAACCTTCTGGCAATTTAGTAGCCCTTTGCATTGCTATTTTGCTAGAAAACAGTACACTTATTTTATGTCAAGCATGCAGGCTTACTTATAAATTACTCTTTTTCTACAGATGCAAGTAGTAACAGAATTAAAAACTGAACAAGATACTGATGCAGAAGGGGTGAGTCCTGCCCCAGTAGAATCTCAAACTCCAATGGATGCGGACAAGCAGGCCATTTACAGGTAGTAATGGAATCGTGTTCTGTCTTTTGAAGGGTAATAGAGGATTTTTTTTTTTTTTACTTTTTTAATAAATAGCTTAAAACTAGGTGCCTAGCTGTCTCAGTAGCTTGCAGGGAAAGAATGAGATTAAATTAGCTTCACTGTGAGTCTTCAGCCAAGAAAAAACCTTCCCTTTATTATAGGATTGTCCAATTTCAGCATCGTTTTAAAGGGTATTCTAAGGGTGGCTGCCATTAAAGCGACTCAGACTTTTGAACTATGGTCACTATTTGTTACGCTGCAGTTTTTAATCTTTAATGTGAGATTTTATTTTTATTCTAATTAGGTCAATCTTTACCCTCTTTTCTTTAGGAATAACAGTCTATTGCCCAGTAATTAGCTCAAACTGGACTAAATGTTGATGTATAAATACAGTAATTTGAGATTTTCCCATGTTAAGTGCTGTGTTAAGCGGTATGCCTAGTTTTGATGAGGTTAAGTGTTCTCTCACTTTAAGTGCTTTATAAAGACATAAGTATTACCAGTTTGCATGTAAAAAAAAAAAAATCCTAGCCAAAAACCTGAAGCAGAAGGATGTATCCATTCATTTTCAGACTTGTGCTAACAAAATCATCTTCTGCTCTGAGCATGATTTCATAGGAGGCCTCTGAGTACAGTACTAAGAACAGTATCTATGCTGTAAAGTTGTGATGTTTAAGTATGGGCCACATTTAAGAATAAATGATTTTTATCAAGAGTTTTAAATCTACATTCATTCTATCTTAAATCCTAATTCTAATCTACTGTATTAATGTATTTCTTGCCACTCAGTTATAGTGGGTTGCGATTGTTCTCTTTATTTAAGTTTACCTGTTTTACTGCTTTATTTGCCTCTAGACTATGTGGTTAAACCAAAATAAAAACAAAAAACCAAACCCACACTTTCATCATGTTTTTCTGTAGCTTGTGGTATTCTTTGCAGTCTCTTCCAAGGCTTGTCTTTCTGTTTCTCACATGAATGACTGTACATTACATGAGGTAGATCTTCCTTTTCAGTGGTGTACACAAAAGTGAAAGTACTTATTCATGTATTTTAATTTTTATTCTAGGCACCCACTATTTCCCCTGTTAGCACTATTATTTGAAAAATGTGAACAATCTACACAAGGCTCAGAAGGCACAACTTCTGCTAGTTTTGATGTAGATATTGAAAATTTTGTAAGGAAGCAGGAGAAAGAAGGAAAACCTTTTTTCTGTGAAGATCCAGAAACTGATAATTTGGTAAGTATAAACTGTTTATTTCTGAAACAATCATCACATTCGCGTCTTCTTCCTAACTTCTGATCTCAACTGGTACTTACTGTTTCTCCTCAAATTTTTCTTCCTACAGAAGATTCTTCTTTCTGTTAATGCTGAGAAACATTTATTTTATTTTTTTTTTTTTTAGGTTATTCTGACCTCTTTCTTTTTCCGCCTTTTATCCATAAACTTACATTGGGCCCTTCACAGTAGCTTCCCATTCTAAACTGGTTGAGGTCAGTGTATTAGAGACAAAAAGAAACACATGCTTGCAGTAGCCAGGTTGACTCTACAAATCAATTTTAGAGTGTCAGGTGTATAGACAAACTGATAAAACATGGACTAGATAAATGAGCAGTGAGATGGACTGAAAACTGGGTGAACTGCGGGGCTCAAAGGATTGTGGTCAGCACCATGAAGAGTAGTTTGAAAGCTAGTCATAAGCAGTGTACTTCAGGGGCTGATACGGAACCAATACTATTTAACATCTTCATTAATGACTTGGATAATAGAACAGAGTATACCTTTGGCAACTTTACATACGTTGCAAAACTTGACAGTGATGACTGTGCCATCATTCAGAGGTACCGTTGTGGTTTAAGCCCAGCCGGCAACCCAAAACCACGCAGCCACTCTCTCACTCCCTCACTTCTTCCCCCCATACCCGGAGGGATGGAGAGGAGAATTGGAAAGAATGTAACTCCCATGGGTTGAGATAAGAACAGTCCGGTAACTAAGGTATAACACAAATCACTGCTGCTACCACCAATAATAATAAAAGGGAAATAACAAGGGGAGAGAATACAAGCACTCACCACCTGCTGACCGATACCCAGCTTGACCTGAGCAGTGATCTGGGCCTTCTGGGTAAATCCCCCCCAGTTTATATACTGGGCATGACGTGCTGTGGTATGGAATACTGCTTTGGTTAGTTTGGGTCAGGTGTCCTGTCTCTGCTTCCTCTCAGCTTCCCCTCCTCCCTGGCAGAGCATGAGACTGAGGAAGTCTTTGGTCAGAGTAAACATTACTTAGTAACAACTAAAACCATCAGTGTTATCAGCATTGTTCCCAGGCTGAGAGTCAAAAACAGCACTGCACCAGCTACTAACAAGGAGAAAAACGACTGCTACTGCTGAACCCTTGACAGGTACTTCGTTTCTTTTGGAGAAATGGACAAACAGGAATCTTACGGAGTTCAACAAAGAGAAATATCAAGTCCTGTAGTAGGCAGGAGTAACACCATGCACTAGTACACTTTGGGGACCATCCAGCTGGAAAGCAGTTTCACGGAAAGGGACCTCACAGTCTTGGTGGACGCCAAGCCAGATATGAGACAGCAGTATGTCCTTCTGGCAGTGAAATTCAACATACTTGGGCTGTGTTAGAAAGAGCTGTAAGCAGGTCAAGGACCATGATCCTTTCTGCCTGCTTTGCAATAGTGAGACACATCTGGAGTGCTGGGCTCCCCACTACTGGATGTAAGACACACATACTGGAATGAGTCCATCAAAGGACCAAAAAGACAATTAGGGGACTAGAGCATCTTTCATGAAGGAAGACAAGCTCAGCAAGCCAAGACTGTTTAGCCTGCAGTAGTAAAGGTTTGGGGAGATAGCAGTGTATCTAAATACATAATGAAGAAATAAACAGAACAGACTGTGTGACTCTTCTCAGTGGCACCCAGTGAAAGGGCAAGAGGAAATGGGCATAAATCGAAATACAGGAACCTTCATTAAAACAAAAAAAACCCACTTTTACTGTAAGGGTGATTGAATACTGGAGCAGATTGTCCAGTGAGTTTGTGGAATCTCCATCCTTGGAGACAGTCAAAACGCAACTGGATGCCTGAGCCACTTGCCCTAGTTGATCGTGCTTTAGGTAAGGGGGTGGATGAAACAGTCTCAGAGCTATTTTGTGGTTTCTGTGAGACTTCAGAGATTGGTTTGCCAATGCTTCTGGTTGTATACAAGAATTTCCTCAGATCAAGTTTGCTTTGGTTGTAGATGGGTCTGCTGTGTTCAAATAGTCATTCGTGCCGGTCGACCTGTTTGTGACTTTAGCGGTGACAAAGTCTCTTGGTTTATGCGTTATTCACCTTTGGGCTGCATGGACCTGACTGATCTTACTCAAGATGGATGAGGAAGTATTTGTTTATGTCTTGTATTCCATGGCTGCTGAGGTCAGTACTGTCTTAAACTGGAAACACATTGCAAAATCAAAAGTCTTTGGCATGGAACTCCTGTCGTGTAGTCATATTGTTAGCTATGACTTTCTATTACTAGATACCAAATGAAACTTGAGTGCGACTTCTCTTCTGCCTGTCCTGAAGGCTCAGGACTCTGAACAGCTGACGCTCAGACAGGTTGTTCATTTTGGCAGAGGCAATAAGAAGAAGATCAGAAGAGTTTCTGTCAAGTTGTGGAACAGCTAGTATGATTTTCAGCTTGAAATACTGGTGCTTGCACAGAGAAGGCTGTAGCTGGGCATTTTTTTCTGCCGTGTGTCACACAAATAATATATTTTTTATATATATTTCAAATCTCCTTATAGTAAAGAGGGATTGTAATATTGTGCACTTTTGTTATGTCTTCTGTTCTTGCTGTTCCTCCTTTTTTTAACTCCAATATAAGTCAACCATCCCTTTGAAAGGAGAAGGTAGTACAGACTGCTAATTGGAATGAGCCAGAAGGGTGGAGCAGGTTGGCCTGACAACCAGTTGCTTTCCACCTGTGCTCTAATCTGACCCCAGCAGAGTTAAATAAGGTGTAAATGCTTGCTTCATAGCAGTCATTCAGCTTGGAGCTAAACTGAGGTGAATTGAATATTATAGTACTATAAAGAGCCAAATTCAAGTCCTGTCCAAAATGAGTCGCAGGCTTGTGTACAATAAGGCAGTTAGCCACTAATTCAGGTTTTTTTTGTTTTTTTTTTTTTCCATTTGCTTATTTTGGAAATGGCATATAGAATTCAGCTTCACTGTTTTTGTGATTGATCTTAAACTAATGGCTCAAAAATAGCAGAATATCATTTCAGGCTCCATACTGCCTATAGACTAATTGACTAGACAGCACTCTTCACTAGAAATTGTGAAGGGTCACACTTATTGTCTGTAGGGCCTCTTATATTCCTGGCAATGTTTGACATTGCACACTCGCTTGAAATGCATTGCATATTCCAAAGAAATAGTTTAATTTTCATCCAGAGAATGACCTAATGTTAATCTGGATGGCACAGGCATTAGATCAGTTTGACTAGAAAGGACATTCATTAAGAGGAGTGTATGGGGTTTTTTCTAACTTGAGTAGCTCTTAGTAAGCTACAGTCTGTATTACCTTGTTGCTTTGGTATTACGGTTTCCATTCTAAACTAATTGGTGGTTTCCTGCATTTGTAGTATAAAGGAGTTTGGCATGGGGCAATAGAAGTAGCATTCATGTGAAGCTTAATTTTAAGGATATCCATGTATTGCTGAAATTGGACTGTAGATGAAGTTTCAATCCTTTCTTGTTATCTAGATGGAGGGGTTCCATTATTTCTAGTTAACCACTCCAACAGTGTCAGTTGGTCATCTTGAAGCAGTGTGGGAAAGGGTAATGGTCAACACAGAAATAGCATTACTAGGCCTTTTACCTTTGGTCTGACTTTGTCAAGCATTGTCAAAATAGGTGTTTGAAGTGAAATGAAAGAAAGCATTTCTATAAATAATGATGGCTTCTGGATTGGGATAGGACTTTAATATTAGGTTGCAGCATATTTAGAAGACTTAAGAATTTCTCAGAAGAGATTTGAAGAATTTGGAAAAACGTTGAAAAAAATGGCACTTTCTTACAGAAGGTTTTTTCATCTTAGACAAATTTTTAAGGTACTCTGTGAAACAACCTGGATTAAGTATATTTTTATTTTATTTATTGCTATGTTCCTATTGTTTATGTACATTCATGCAGTGGAATTGGCAATGTTTATGTTCAAAACCTGTAGCACTGAAAACTCCACTAAATTGAGTTATGACATCCCTGAAGTGTGACATTTCAGGTACTGTCTCTTCCTTTGTCTGAGAGGTGCATATGCCTCTTTTCCTTCCTAGGAAGAGCATATTGCAGGAAAATGCAAAGTTCAGTTCTAGATCTGTTGAAAGAAAACTGAGGAGCTTCAGTGCTAGCTCCTGGACAGATTTTATCAGCTTGCTCTGAGATGCACACAGTCTTGACATTCTAGGTATGTCTTTACTTTTCATGCAGATTCATTTTCCAGTTAGAAGAGGTAGTTGTTTTTGGACAACAGCAGTTTCAGTCCATCCCTAGTGAAAACATAGAGAAAGTGATTTTTCTGTGGGAGTTACATGTTTGCGCTTCAAGAATTGATGGTTACAAACAGAACTTTGAAACTTTCCCCTTCCAGCTTCACTGACTTCTAGCCACACAGGTTAGACTGTTAAGGGGGGTAAAAGAGACAGGTACAAGTCATGATTTTGTGCATTAAATGTTTAGTTCTTATAGATATGTATGGCATAGCATGTAATTTGAGCCAGAATTTTCCTCTATTTTGGGATGTCTTCCGTAGGTTTCTCCTGGCTTTCATCAGTTTAGTTCTGTTTTCTGATTCTTGGTCACTCATGCTGTTTATATCTCCATTGATCTTCTCTGAACTTGATAGTGCTGATTAGCTGCAAGAAGTCTTGCAGATCTCCCTTTTTCAAATTCTAGTCCCTGTGGGAAAGGAAGTGAAAGCTGAAGATTTCTACAGAAACCTTCATGTCCTCCTGTTGTAGATATTTAAGGTTTTATTTACCAGACTGGAAATACACTTTCTTCCCCTGAGCTTTTACTACTTCCATATCTTTTTGGATTGTTATTTTGCATCCAGCTTAGTCCTTACATCAAGCAGCAGTACCAGAAGATATATGTTTGCTGACAAGAACCAGATCTTGGTTCTTAATATGCTTCTTTCTGGAAGCATGCTCAGCTATAGCCCCATAACATGGAG